TTTACATCCAGCTATTTCCTTGGCAATCGTCACACGCAAGATCCGATACATCTGCATTCTGATACAGACTGCCTTCTAAAAAAGCATGTAGTTATAGAACCTCACCTTATACTAGAAACTTTTGTAAAAGGGCCTGCATCATTTCGGCCATTAAAGTAGAACCTAAGGATTATAAACAGTATTATAGAATAGTTCATTGCATATTCCTTAGCACCAGCCTTCAACAAATGCTTTGCACATAGTGACTCGAGCCTTAGTTGTTGATAGGTTGAAAGTGTACAAAAAAAAGTCTTTATATCTTACATATTTTTTCTGTCCTTTAATGTTTAACCTATTTTAAATAGAATTCTACCATGTACATAAAAAGCACTTGTCTGATGGGATATTTTTTCAGTATGCCTCTGAGAATCTAAGAATGCATTTCAAAATGTATTTTATCTACATGTAAATATTTTGGAATGGTTCACTTAGAATTATTTATTTCATATAGTGGAAAATTTCTTGACCCTTTTTTACTTAGTCAAGTTTTGTCTGTACCTTCTTTCTGGATTTTAATAGCTGCTAGTGTATGCCTTTTTGTTGTTCAGCCCTGGTTCAAATTCAGATTCTTACTGCCCTATCAAAATGGGCATAATGTACATCGATAAATATAGGACTAGCCTTTCTTATGGTAGTAGGGGAAAGCCGTTTTCAGGAAGGTCCCATATAGAGAAATGCTTTGTCTTTCTCAAATCCTGCATAATATGACAGTGGTTGATCTCTACCTCATGGATGGATGGAATGTTTGAAAACAATGTGACCCGGGCCTCAGGAAATGGTTCATGTCATAGACACTGTGTACTCATATGGCAGCTGATGGTGGGATCCCAATTGCCAATCTCATCTGCAGTGGGACTCAGAGAAACAGTGAAGGATATGAACCCTCTGCAAGCCCTGGAGTAGCTCCTTGGTAGTTTTCAGGTACCATCTCAATATCCACTCCATGTGGTTTGATCCTGTACCCTTACCTGTTTCAGAGAAAGGAGGTGCTTACCTCCAAAGGTACATTTTGAGAAAATGAGTCTGCCCTCCTGTGTGCCTGGAGGGCCAGCAAACACAGATAATTTGCCCTGGAGTGAGTAGGTGTGGTTTTGTTTGTTTTGTTTTAAGGGTTGGGGGTGGGGGAGGGGGGTGTGCCCTTGTGTGGGAATGGTATGTGGGAAGGCTTTATCTCCTATGTCTGCCCCTTTAAAGATAGTAAGTCCATTTAAATTCTAAGATCCCATAAAACTTACCTGGTGTGAGCCTGTATGTTTTAGTGAGTGCAAAGTGCTGTTGGTCCTTTTTAGTGTACCCTTCATGAGTGCGTTTAGGATTCAGTATGTTTAGATTCTTGATAATATGGTTTGAGTGCTGTTAAAAGTTGATATGAGAATTGATAAAAGTATTATCTAATTCTCCAAACATAACCAAAATGCATGCAATGGTTTTTAAGCCCCTCATATCCCAACAAAATGTTCAAAAGCTAGCTGCCTGCTACTGACTTGGATGTGACCAAGTTTGAGCATCTGACAAATCCATCTTGCCTTTGAAAAGCTTACCAACTTCTTCATTATACTGGTATATAGCATTTACTTTATGTAACAGATGAATGAACCTGACCTTTGTGGAAATTCAATTTTTATAAATCTGACATTTTTAAATGTTAAAAATATTTTTTTTAAGTATTACTCCAGTATTACTTTTCTAGTCATCAACCCTTTGTATCCTGCTTTATCTATCAGCACCCTGGCACGTATAAACATCTCTCTACACAGTAAACACAGGTACATGTGCATTTTAGGTGAAGGGAATTACTGGTGAATGTAACTTTTATGTTTTTAACTATGGTATAAGCATGCTAATCTAGATAATGTTGATTCTATCTGCATATACATGCCTGGTTAGAAACACCCATGTTTTTCAAATAATTTATTGTATATTTGATGCGTGGCCAGTTAGATTTTTGTCCTGTAACTGAGATGTCAAGATTGAACTTATAACATGTTGGGCCTGAGTGAGGGCAACATATCCAATTTGAGTTGTCTCAAATTGATGCATGTGATGTATGTGGCTATATGAAAAAGTGGTAAGACTTCAAAGAGCATATTCTAAATGCTTAAATTTATCAAAATGTTAGAGCAAACCATTTATAGGTTCTGCTTATATTTTATACCTCATGAAAGACTAGGGCAGGCTTAGGGGGGAAAAAATTTCTGATAAATTTCACAAAAATGAAAAATCAAAAAAGGATGTGGTTGGATTTTATGAATAAAGGGCTTTAATTTTTCTGTTTGAAAACTTTCCATGTTTTAAATATTTCAATGTAATACAGCATTTTCTATGTTGTCAACTTTTTTGTGAATTAAACTGTATCCACCTCTATTTTGCATTACTTATGAATATTGAACTGCAATAAAAACATTCTTTATTGTGCTTGAGTCTCAGAATTTGGGGGAAGGAGGGAATTGTGGAAGAGGTTTGGTGTTGTTTGCACAAGAAATTTTAAAGAAGTCTGTTGAAAATTTCAATGCAACTTATATTTAATACCAAAATTTAAACCATTAATTTATAAAATGAAAAAAGTACTTATCTGTACAAAGCCAATTCTGGATTTTCTAAATTAGATTATGTGTTATATACTTTTTGATTTCACTGTAAATCAATTCTTCTTAATTTGAAATTAAGTCAAATTAAAATCAATTATTAATTTGAAATCAAGTCAAATAGCAAAGCAGAACATATTACATAAGATGCTTCTTCCACTCTAAAAAATGTTTGGCCAAAGCTTTATTATGCAACACAGTAGGGAGAAATCATGGAAATGCATGTGGTCATGTGCCCAGATGAGCTATTCTGATGAGGGCACAATAGCACACTGGTTAGGAGCACAGAGGATAGAGCTGATAAACTTGGACTTTATCCCAGCTCTGCAAGAAGTCAATTCGGTAGGCAAGTTTTTGCATTCATTAGATCAAGATCCATTAGATCTACCTCACTGGGCAGATGGGAGGATATAATGACATATGTACAGCACCCAGCCAATATATGCCTAAGACATACATGCTCTAAGCAAGCACTTTAGGCTATGAAACCCTTAAATGGTAGTGGATCAAAAAATAACATACACTGTAATAATGTTTTGTGCCTAATAATACTAAATATCACCTTTTATTATACTACAGAGAAAAAGTATCTGAAAAAAACATTTTAAAACCATTTATTTTTTGTGTGAAATGGTTATTAACAAGTCTATATAAGCTTAAGATTCCAATTAAGAGAAGTGTTTTCATGAAAGCTCAGGGCTCAGTTGTATGTCATGTAGCGGGGAGTAGCACTGAATTTGGCATAGGACTTAATGACCTTATTTACAGCTTCCAAGAAATCCTTCTCAGTAGCTATTTTTCGCCGGGCTCTGATGGCAAACATACCAGCTTCTGTGCAGACACTTCTAATCTCAGCACCTGTCAAACAAAAAGAAAACAACAGGCTTCATTAAAGCAGCCTGGACAGACAGACCAGCAAATATAAACAAGACCTTTCAACCTACCAGTGCTATTTGGACACAGTCGTGCTAACAATTCAAATCTGATATCTCTTTCAACACTCATTGAACGCGCATGGATTTTAAAAATGTGAGTCCGGCCCTAAAAACGGGAATTGAAAAATATTACAATGGAAAACATCACAGGAAGAGAAATTTCAAAAATCCCTTTTCTAAGAAATGGTTTTCTGACCTCTAGATCAGGTAAGCTAAATTCAATCTTCCTGTCCAGTCTCCCTGGCCTCATCAGTGCTGGATCCAAAGTGTCGGGTCTGTTAGTGGCCATCAGCACTTTAATGTTGCCACGAGGATCGAAACCATCCAGCTGGTTGATCAATTCCAACATCGTTCTCTGTACTTCATTGTCACCTCCAGCACCGTCATCAAAACGAGCCCCTAAGACAAAAGGAAAGACTTATCTGGTCACAGGAACACTAGCATAACCTGAAAGTACTGTTACTCTCAACTCAAATCATGCCCTAAAGTGCAAGTGAATTCCAACTTTAAGCAAATCCTAAAATAACTGCCTCATTTTCACAAAACTAATTAGAAAGTGAATCTTTCACAAGGCTCGTCATAGACTTATTTAACATAGACTTTATTAAAGTATTTTTTGCCCTAGCCGGTTTTGCTCAGTGGATAGAACATCGGCCTGCGGACTGAAGGGTCCCAGGTTCGATTCTGGTCAAGGGCACATGCCCAGGTTGCAGGCTTGATCCCAAGTAGGGGGCATGCAGGAGGCAGCCAATCAATGATTCTCTCATCATTAATGTTTCTATTTCTCTCCCTCTCCCTTCCTCTCTGAAATCAATAAAAATATTTTTTTAAATAAAAATAAAGTATTTTTTAAATCCTCTTCAAGGAACTTTGTTTTGAAATCACTCAAAACACCTGTTGTTTAACAATGTACACCAAGACTAGGTAGAATACATGAAGCACCTATAATGTAAGAAACTGCCATACTCTTCCACATGTCTCAAAACTCTTCTTAAAAATAAGGCTGGCGCCATAATAAGAAATATAACTTACACTATCACACTATTTTGGATACATTAATGTGATCTCAGATAAACGTCTGTCTCATTTCAACCAAAATAGCAAAAACAAAACCAAACAAAAAATAAGCCTCCAAGTATACATTTTCATTTTAAAATTATAGAGATACATACTGTTGTATTAGCGTATTATGTACAAAATAACACAAAAAATTAAAAATTAAAAAATAAGAATAAAATTAAATAAGGAAAAATTGGTAGTATTTTCTTCCTGCACCCTAGTACTGTTTTAAAATATATTTTATTGATTTTTTTTACAGAGAGGAAGGGAGAGGGATAGAGAGTTAGAAACATCGACATGAGAGAAACATCGATCAGCTGCTTCCTATACACTCCCTACTGGGGATGTGCCCGCAACCAAGGTACATGACCTTGACCGGAATTGAACCTGGGACCCTTGAGTCCACAGGCTGATGCTCTATCCACTGAGCCAAACCGGTCAGGGCCCTAGTACTGTTTTATACACAACCCACCTTGGAAAGCATAACTTCAGAGCATCCTGACATTGTAAGGCTTATGGCTTATTCCAATGACACTATAAAAATTACTTCAAGATCACCACACTGCATCAATATATTGGGCTCAAGTTAACCACTTGAAGACATTAACTACAGCCTGTCCCAATTCCACAACGTCCACCCAGTATAAAAGCAAGACTCTAGATAACCTAACCACAGTCCCCTAACAGTGTTACAAGGTCCACTATATTTTCAAGTCATTTTTATCACTAAGTTCCTTAAATAAAAAATGTCTGGCCATATGACACTTCTCCCTAGTAAGGATTATTCCTCTTATAGGCTATAACAATAGTCAAGGCCTACAGAAGTTTCGTTTTCAAAATCTATCACACTACTTTACAACTCTCGAAAACCCATAAAATAAGCAGGGCAGGAATTATCATGCCCATTATAAGATGAGCAAACTTAGGCTCAAGAGTTAGTTAAAACAAGTGGTCTAGATCGCACAGTTAAAAGTGTATTTCATCAGATCTATGAAGCCAACAGTAACAATACTTATGTACACTTTATGAAATACCAGCACCAATTAAATTATGCCCCAGTGCTTTCTTATCACATTGAGTGAAGCTGTATCCCAAGTTAGGAACTGTTCAAGTGTGAAAATATGTCACATGAATGAAATTAGGAAAGTACAAAGATAAAGACTTTGAAAAATAGCACAGCTATGTAACATTTCTTTTTACTTTAAAATACCATCCATACCTCCAATAGCATCAATTTCATCAAAGAAGATAAGGCAGGCTTTTTTTGTTCTGGCCATTTCAAAGAGCTCTCGAACCATTCGTGCCCCCTAATGGGAAAAATAATTTGTTAATTTAGAGTTAATTTTTAAATCTTCAAGAATAAAAAGTTATACTTCAAACTTTTCAATATTGCTAAAAGTATCCTCAACTATTATTATCCCAGGCTTTTTCCAAAAAACAACAACTGAAGTTTGTTACCTATTCCATCAAATTAACCTTATTCATGTTAAATTAATCTTATTAGCCTGAAGTACTTTTATGATTCTGTACCTAGTAAATAGCCAATAGCTATAAGACCTGAAGAGGTCAAATTAATAAATAAAGCCACCATTTCAATCAGTAACACCCGAGGAAATAAAAGCATTTGACTTATCACTTGGCATTTCTGATCACTGAATTTGATTTGTAAGTGTTGCTCAGAGACTAAACGTACTGCACAGCTCAATTCATGCAGTTCCTTTTCTAATTCTTATTGTAAGTATTCTAATCATTAACATTTCAGATACAATATATACAGCCCTAGACTTACTCTCTAATGAAAAAATCTGTGTGAGAGAGAGAGAATGTGTTGTGAGTATAGACAGATGCTCCATGTTTTCTTTCTCAGGAGACCATAAAAGGTTGGCCCTAAAGCAAAAGCACACTTCTGAATGCATTCACCAGGCATTTCTGGGGTATTTCTCTTACTAACCAAATTTGTAGAAAAAGTCGTATTTCTGAGGAGGATGCATGGTAATTAAAAATGTTAAGCAGGCCCTAGCTCAGTGGATAGAACATCAGCCTGTGGACTGAAGGGTCCCAGGTTCGATTCCAGTCAAGGGCACATGCCTCGGTTGCAGGCTCGATCCCCAGTATGGGGTATGCTGGAGGCAGCCGATCAATGATTCTCTCTCATTGATGTTTCTATCTCTCCCTCTCTCTTCCTCTCTGAAATTAATAAATAAAAAATGTTAAGCAGTTGTTTATTTCCAAATGACCACAAGGGAAAGCTGGTGGCTTCTACATCAACTAATTACAATCCATCAATCAAGAAGTTTCAGGTCTCAATCTTTCTATGTGAAACTGCCATTTAAATTGCATCCCTGCTTTATAAATTTTTCACAGAGCTACAAATTCTTTGATTATGATGAATTTACTTTACCTCACCGACATATTTCTGCACAAGTTCAGATCCAATAACTCGAATGAAGCAAGCATCAGTCCTGTTAGCAACTGCCCGAGCACAGAGTGTCTTGCCTGTACCCGGTGGACCAAAGAGCAGCACGCCCTTAGGAGGCTCAATGCCAAGGTTAACAAACCTCTCTGGCTGTGATGGAGACACAATATTTATAATTATCACCCACTTCTGTATAATAAAAATAAGACTACTTCTACATCAATATATTTAAACCAAAACTATTAAGTCCACAATCTATATACTTCACCTAATAAGAACTTTACTTATTTTAAAATATAAGATATAAACTAGACTCATATCTATAATAATAAAAGGGTAATATGCTAATTAGACCAGACATCATTCCAGACATCCTTCGGACAAAGCTGGGGCTGCGAGGGAAGCCCGGGTCCCGGATGTCTGCTG